ATTGGATTAAGGGTAGTATTTATGTATTTTAAAATATTAAGAAGTGACAGTCTTAAGACAACTAGAAGTCATTTTCCGATATTTTAAAATAAATAAATATCCCACTAGAAAAAACCTAAAAAAATTGATTGCTTTGAAAATTAATTAATTTTGAAGGGAAAGGAAATATTCACTATATTAAACTTATCGAGACAATTTGCTAATTTTATTAGAGATTAAATCTCGGTATTTTTAAATTATTGAATATCCCTTATCTTTTCTAATAATATAATTCGGATTAATGAATTTAATTTCTTTCTTTGGTAGAATAAAAATTATTTTAATATTGAATTCTTAGAAAAAATTATTATATTTCTTTTATTTCAGTTGGAAAATTCGTCCTAAAGTATTTTAGGGAGTATTTTCTCTTCAATTGGAAATAAGAGAATATTTTATATTTTTCCTTAGAATTTTTGTTCTATAATATTTGTATGGTTGAATTAGGTATAATAGAATCGTGATTTAAATATATATTTGAATTCTTAGATTTTTATTATTTAGAGACAATATATAATCGATGGGTACTAATTTTGGGCGTTGTGAGGGTGCTTATCCTTCCCCATACGTAATCGACCCCGAACTCTTTTTATTACTAAAAAATGAATTTTGGTTATACGTGGATCAATGCATCTTTTAAAATGATGTTTTTCTTAAAAACTCTTTAAAAAAAGATTTTTGGGTATTTGGCCTACCTAACCCAAAAGGTCGATGGCAACTCCGAAACATTTCTTTTATAAAATTGGGTTTTCGTAAAAAAAGTCGACACTCGTCGTATCGCCGAAAATCAGTTACGACAGAATGATTTCTCTATATGCTTTGAGTCCATTGACAATCACAGAAAATTTATCTGTCATAACTTTAATGTCTTCATTCGGTTTCATCCTGAAATTTTCATAGCTATGAGTTATAAGACTAATTTTAGATTCTTTTACCTCGTTGGTGCCTTAATGAGTGACTTGTAGTTTATCTCATATCTCATTGGTGGTTGTACAAGATAAAACTCTCTTATTCATCTGGTCCAAGAGCACAAAATAGAATATGGATAGCTTTTGAGTTGAGTTGGAACATTCTCGTCTCTTCTTTACTCCATAAATTTGGATGTGTGGATGGTTCGATGTATACGTTCACCACGATTTTCCATGCTCTCATGTCTCTAGCTTGAATGAAATATCTAATCTTATTCTTCCAATAGGCATAATTAGCACCATTGAAGAAATGAGGCTTGTTTACGGGCTAAGAATCAAGAACGAAGTCGAAGTTTGAAGTGGAGGCTATTGATGACTTGAATATCGATATAACTCTTCCCGAATCGACTCAAGAGGTGGTGAAACCTTTAAATGAGTGTAGCTCTGATACCAATTGTTGAGTTAATCGATTGACAAATAGGCCAAGACGGGGAGTGAATTGGCAATAAAAATTTTGGAGGAAGCTTTTGCAGAAAATTGAAAATATTTACACATCGATTTAGAGTGGTTCGACTTTCTCAACCAAAATCTACGTCACTACCTTAGCTATCCACACTAAGGATTTTCCACAAATTCACTAATTTGTATTTCTTTTGAGGACAAAGAGTAACCTTACAACTCTATCAAGAATTATACCCATAATTCTTGATAACACTCTCTCCCAAAGAGAAAATTACAAATTTCGCAAACTTACAGAAAAACCTCTCAAGGCAATATGTTTGCACAATTCAAGAACAAAGAAAGAGCACTAAAAATGAATACAATTGAATACAAATGGTGTTCTTGAAAGCAAAATGAATATTGAATGGAGAATAGATTTGAACTTCTTAAACTTGAGGTTTGATGTTTTATCTTTGATTCTATCTCAATTCTGGTTGATCAATGGCTTCAGAACTTGTTTAAATACACCTTGGATTGATTCTGAACGTTGGGGATCATTGGTGAAGTCAATAGAGCCGTTGTTGTATGTTTTCCATTTAAAAATATGTTAGGAGCGTAAGTGTATCGGTACACTATCAAAGTGTATCGGTACACTCAGTGTAAAATTCAAATATTTCGACCGTTATTTGACCGAGTGTATCGGTACACACCAGGTGTATCGGTACACTAATTACATTTGATGTTTCTCGGAGCCAGGAGTGTATCGATACATCAGCTATGTATAGATACCCTTATTCCATTCGAAGTTGGGGTGTATCGATACTTCCAAGGAGTGTATCGGTACCTCCCTTCACAAAACTTGTTTTTGGCTCGTTTAAGGTTCGAAACACTTTGTAAAATTGTTTCAAAAATATTTTAAGATTAAAACACAATTTTACACTTAAGTAAGGTTTAAAATTGACATTTGAAAACTTGAGTAATATTTTGATATTTGAATAATTTACTCAAATATTAATTTTGAAATCGAATATAAAATCTTAAAATTCATTTATACTTTATTTGTTATATCGAAATATCAAAATATTTTCAACATGTTGTAAATTTTCCCTTGAATTTTGAATTAATTCAATTCAATCCCTGTTATATTTTTTATATTTTTGCAATTTGACCCCCTAACTTCTATTTTTCCCCTTGCAGCTTCCAATTAACTTCAATTTGACCTTTAATTTCAAATGTTTTTAAATTTAATCCTTCTTTAATATTTCTTTTAATTTAATATTGATTTATTTATTTACTTATTATTTATTTTTCATTTTCGTTTTATCCTATTTTATTATTTAATATCAATTTGGTTTTCTTAGGACAATTTTCATTGGTCAAAGGTAGGTAATTTGGTTCAAACTTTTAAATTTTAATTTAGCTTTTAATTTTCCTAATTAAGACAACCGAGAAATTGAATTGGTGCCGAAAGGGCAGTACAAGGGTGTTAATCCTTCCCTGACTGTAATCGATTCCCGAATCTGACAAATTTCTGGTAAAACATAGATCAGATAACGGTAAGTTATGGTATCTGATCGACCAAATTAAAATAATTGGTGGCGGCTCCAACATATCAAAATTAAGTCGAAACCCAATTTTGGGCCCACCCAAAGGACGATTACGACATTTATTAATCGAAAATAACATCACGTAGTACATAAATATAAACAGAATCCAGTAAATTATAACTAAAAGATATAAATGAGTTTGAGGTCGTTGCTCATTGTGCAATAACATGCATAAAGATATTAGTCGTTCATCATATAGAACAAACTTTGATACCAGAATGTGCATCCAAGTATTGTCCAACTTCAACTAGGTGATCACTAATCACCCATAAATCACTGCTGTTGAACAAGTTAACTTAAATGGTGAAGCCAACAATTTAGTCTATTTCTTTTGGGTAAATTACACAATTTATCATCTAATTATCTTATCACTTCTATTTTTTTAATTTAATCACTAGACTTTGAATTACTCCTATTTAAGTCACTCTCATTACATGGATTATTTTATGATTTTTTTATTTTAACATAAAAATTTATTAATATTTAATGATAAAAATTAAAATTATAAATAATTAAAATTTCTAATTTTAATCCCTAAATACCACCCACCACACCACACCCCAATATAATCCCTAACCCCTAATCAGAACCCCACAAACATCCAATCCTCCTGCATCCACGCTAACGCCTCAACTTCCACTCAACCACCTTTGATATTGACCGTTACTCAACCATCGACTTCCACTCTTACTTTATCTCCATTTCTAATGACAGCTTCTCTACCATCAATTTCAGCTCCTCCTCTAATTCAAATAAAATTTATAGTCAAAACAAAAATATAGAAATATAAAAAAAATCCAAAATTTAAAATATATGATTAGAACTTAAAACAATATTAATAAAAAAGCTTACATGAAAATCGAAATGACGATTAAATGTAAGGTATCAGTCCAACTTACATAATCACCCATAAAAAGAGAATAAGTGTTGGGAGTGTTCCCACCAATGCATAATAGTTCAACAAGATCGTGAAATTAGCAAATGGCCATAGATATCGCCGCAGATGGTGACGTGACATTTCACTGACTAAAACATTTCACTCTTCCAAGAGGATCACATGCGCTTGCTCACATAGAGTCTTTATCTTCGTCTCCGATAGCGGCTTGCACTACATTAAGTGTTCGATCTACGATCTAGATTCATGTGGGACGACATTTTCTGGTAGTTGAGAGATTTGATACTGATTTTCTTTTGCTTTGTATTATATGATGGGGTTTGATCGTACACCGAAGGATAATAATTGAGATTTTAGATCAGATCATGGTTAGGGTTAAGGAGATTAAATTTAAACCTCAAAGTTCTCTTTTTCTCAATTCCCGGGAAGCTAAATATTGGAATTTGCATTTGTAAGCTCCTTAAGTTTCCTCTATTTATGAATTGCAGTGGTAGAGGAACTGAAATCGGGGTGGAAAAATATCAAGTGGGAATGAAGTAGGAAGAGCAGTGAAAGCCGATGATGGAGTAGCAATCAATTTCGGAGGTGGTTGAGTGGAAGCTGGGGCGTTAGTGTGGTTGTACGAAGATTATAAGTTGGTGGGGTTTGGATTGTGGATTAAGGTCTGGATTGGGTTGTGATTTATGGATTAAAATTAAAAAAAAATTTATTTTAATTTGTTTCCATTAAATATTAATAAAATTTTTCATATTATAATAAAACAAAAAACAAAATAATAATATATGTTATTAGAGAGATTAGAGCATGAGTAATTCGAAAGTTTAGTAATTAAACTGAAAGGTTTTAAATTTTAGAGACCAGAATAAGAGAAATAAGATATTTAAGTGATGAACAATGTATTTTATCCATTTCTTTTTACAATGACCATGAGATATGTCGTTCATTTTGAAGAGAAAAAAAAGGGGAAAACTATTTGTCGTTCGTCAAAAGATTTTCCATCAAATAATAATAAGAAAAAAATGTAGAAAACGATGTCGTTTCATAGAAGCATGGTTGCCTACTATAAAGACGCATAAACCCCACCTTCGTCTATGTGCGATTCTAAAACCCTAACATAACCCCTTTCCGTTTTCTTCGGAGCTCTCTTCTCGTCTGTTAGAAACAACACATTTTCATAAACGAAACTATGATGAACACCTTCTTAAAACGCTCAACTTCCTTAGCCTCCAGGAGGCTTCTCGTCTCCTCCGTCCAAACTCTCCTTCAACACTTCCAGTCAACAGCTGCAGCAGCTACCACTATAGATGCCGAGACTCATTTTATTAACAGATTCAAACCCTTTTCTGGCTTTCCGGGGTATGCACCGAAGGGGATCCACGCCAAATCAGGGCCGTTGAATTTCAGGGCATCCACGAACTTGCAGGCGGAGTATGCTGTCGAGGATTATGTTGAAGAGAAGGGAAGTGATGGGCTTGAGATATCTGCTCTGGGGATTGCTCCTGAAATTGTTTCTGCTCTGAATAAAAAGGGTATCACCAAATTATTTCCAATCCAGGTAAAATTATACGCACACACACACACACCCCTTGCTTTAGGCTCTTACCATTTTAATGATTTTTTATTTTTTTGCAAAAAAAATAATTTCTCCCTTCATTTTCATTGTAGAGAGCGGTGCTGGAACCAGCAATGCAAGGAAGGGATATGATTGGAAGGGCTAAGACAGGGACAGGCAAAACGCTTGCTTTTGGGATTCCTATCATGGACAAAATCATTCGATACAATGCTCAACATGGGTTTGTTGATCCCCCTCCCTTTTTCTTATTGTTAATGTTATTGATACTTTTGCTACTTTTTTATGTCCGAAATGATAAGTTTTTTTTTTGTTTCTAATTCTGAAATGAAAAGGTAAAAAGTCGCATATGGAGATTCATAATTTGCTTTTATTCTGAATGGTTAAACTATCTTCAATTTGTTTTATGCTTGAACTATGAGCTCATTTTTATCAAATGGTAATAATATGACAGTGATACCACAACAATGTAGCTTTTTAGTGTTTACTTTTAGCTTTTAGCAACTATTAAGGAAGCAAAAGGTAAATATAGCAAGTCAACAACCAAAGAGACCTTATTGATTTATATATTGATTCTTTTTGTGCTGTGAAAAACTAAAATTTTGGTTGATTATGGACAGTTTTATTACCATTTTTAACCGGTTGTGTTCTTTTGTGTTAAATATGCAGACGTGGTAGAAACCCCTCGTGCTTGGTTTTGGCACCAACGAGGGAACTTGCTAAACAAGTTGAGAAGGAATTTCATGAGTCTGCCCCCAACTTGGATACAATTTGTGTTTATGGGGGTACACCCATTTCCAAACAAATGAGGCAACTTGACTATGGTGTTGATATAGCTGTTGGTACACCTGGCCGCATTATTGATCTGCTTAAGAGGGGTACTCTCAACTTAACAGAGGTTCAATTTCTTGTTCTTGATGAAGCTGATCAAATGCTTCAAGTTGGATTTGCTGAAGATGTTGAAATCATACTGGAGAAGCTGCCTGCAAATCGTCAAAGCTTGATGTTTTCAGCAACAATGCCTAATTGGATTAGAAGCCTAACCCAAAAGCACTTAAAAAACCCATTAACTATTGATCTGGTTAGCTTGCATATCTTCTTTCACCATTATTTTCTTATGGTTATGATTTCTTGCTTCTAGTTATTGGTTCATTCCTATATTGTTTTAGCGTATTTCCCTACTGAGTTGGTGCTGTGCTGCCTTTAGCATTTGCTGTATATTTATGGAAATTTGGTGATTTGGAAATGAATGCTAGCATGATCAAAGTTTTACCATCATAATCTATATTCCAATACTTAAATTTCGGTTATTTTAAAAGTACACTTCTAATTAAGGATCAATTCTGTTTTCATTTTCATTTTTTTTGCATAATGAAGATAAGCTCTGAAAGAGGGCAAGACACATTCACCTAGCACCACTTATTTCTAGTGGCTTATGTTCACCTGCAGGTTGGAGAAGATGATCAAAAGTTGGCTGAAGGAATTTCCTTGTATTCGGTTGCAGCAGATTCGCGTGGGAAAGCATCAATTCTTGGTCCTCTAATTACAGTAAGGGCCATGCCCATGGGTTTTGTTTGTTTGTTTTCCTGCTTGGCTTTTTCACTTTTTTTTTTCTTTTCATTTTAATTCCAGTTTTGTACCCATTTCAAATTCATTATGTTTTTTTCTCAATTGTCATTGCTTTCATCATCAAATTCTTTTTTAGGAACATGCGAAAGGAGGAAAGTGTATTGTTTTCACTCAAACAAAGCGTGATGCTGATCGGCTGGCATATGCCATGTCAAGAAACTTTAAATGTGAGGCTTTGCATGGTGATATCACTCAGGCTCGGAGGGAAGCAACTCTCTCAGGATTCCGAAATGGGCTTTTTAATATTTTAGTTGCTACTGATGTTGCTGCTCGTGGCCTTGATATACCTAGTGTTGACCTGGTTAGGCTTTCATGTTACTTTCTGGTGATTCCAGGCATTTTTAGCTAGATTTGTTAGTAAATATTGTTACTTTGTTGATTATAAATGTTAATTTAATATTAAAATCCTGTGATGCCAGACAATGTCTTGTTTGATGATTTCTTAGTCATGGTACCACTTCAAGGAAAATCTACTTATGGGTCTGTTCAATGTGGCATCCTAGAAGAATTTGTATGATCTGTGATGTGTGAATTGCAAAATTTTATCTTATGGTATAATGTTGTTGGCATCAATATTCTGCACTTTTCCGTTTGCAATTGCTTGGGTCACCTATTATTTAGGCCATTTTAGAGTAGTGAGCCATGATTTTAATTGTTAAACCAATACAAAGATGCAGACATCTTTTAGAAAATTATGTTTGTTGAAATTGAGGAGTTTATGGAAGAACCGCCATGTATTTTTTGCGGAACTGCTAATTACATATGATGAATTTTCTAGTATTATTACATTTTTGGAATCCGTCATTATTTAATGTGCATGTGTTTGTCCATGCTAGCATCATTTTGAATAATGTTTCTGCATGAGTTGATATTGCGGAATTTGATCCTTGATGCTCTTTAATTTGATTCTTACATAGGTAATACATTATGAGCTTCCAAACACGTCTGAAACTTTTGTCCATCGAACTGGCCGAACTGGTCGTGCTGGAAGGAAAGGAAGTGCAATTCTTATCTACACTCGAGAGCAGAGTAGGGCTCTTAGGGTTATTGAGAAAGAAGTAGGATGCAAATTTTCTGAGGTAATATCTTGTATCCTTTTTTTGTGCATGTTTTTTTTTTCATTTTATTTTCCGTTCTTTATTAGGGGAGGTTTTTTTAAATATCTTTTACAATGTTGATGCTGTATTGAGGATTTTGAACGTTAGGAATAGGGAAGCTAAAAGAAGTTTTAATAGCTAAAGTGAAAGTTTTTAAGTGAGTCTAGCAAAAGTCAAGTTTTCAACTTTGACAATCTTTTTTTATAAGAATAGAGCCTCATTAAAAACCTCCTTCATAACCATCAAGCCCCGAAAAAAAAACGGCTATTGGGAGGAGGAAAAGAGTGCCCAAAATTTTATTGCTAAACATAAAGATACATCCAGGTACAGATCAGACACATTACAAAAGATCCCCATTTAAACATCCACAACAGACATCCACCTCACCCAACCAAAGCACCTGACCTTACACTAGCCTATGCCCGTTTTAGTTAAACTATCAGCTTCCCCATTAATACATCTGTTAACAAGCCTATTTATAACATTGAACTCTAACACTATCTTAGCAATTCCTCTAACCAGATGAACATAAAGAACTGGGCATGTCTCCGGATTGTTAATCCATTTCAATGCAATAGAGGAATCACTCTCTAAAATAAGACTCCCCTTATCCCTCCACACTGAATTCAAAAACAAATCTAAACCAGCTTGAATTGCTTTAAACTCGGCAAGGATTGGGTCCGGATGCTCTTGAGAAAAACCCCAACCTCTTATCTTTAGCATCCTTGAGCACACCGTCAATACCACTGCACCTCCAGTCAAAATTAACAGCCCCATCAACATTCACTTTAAAGAAACCCGGAGGGGGGACACCACTGTGACTTAGTCAAAACAATCTTCGAAGAAGAACGGTGCAAATCAGCCAAGGTTAAGTCTCCCATAAGGCAATCAAGAGGGATAGGGTAATTAGAATTCTTAGCCAAGAACCAAGAAGCCACCCTATACCTAACCAGAAAGAAAAGATTAATCTGATCCAACCTACCCTTCTCTAACACTATATTATTTCTGCAATTTCAAACAGTTCACAAAAACAACACCCGTCACAAATTTCCAAATTTCCGAATCCGGAATTAAATCCAACCAAGATAACAGAAAACCTTTGGGATTATTGGGGAAAACAGAGTATAAATTCCACATTCGAAGAAACCGCGCCCAAATCCCCCAAACAACTTTGCAAGAAAAGAACAAGTGGCACACCGACTCCGGCTCCAAACCATAGACCGTGCATAGAGAATCCTCGATTCCTCGAACACCCCGACTCAATAAGGCAGTTTTAACAGCCAACTTCTAGTGGAGCACCTGTCAAAGAAGAACCTCCACTTTTGGAGGCGCTAAACCAACCCATACAAGCTTAGACCAGCACAAATCCGGATTGGACAGGCTAGATACTAAGTTAAGGCATGATTTAACCGAATATACTCCCTCCCCGTTACCCTTCCAAGCGTAGCAATCATCCACCTCCAATCCAATACGAACACTATCCAACAAAAGAAGCAGTTCAATCCTTAGAGCATATTCACTCTCCATCAAATTCCTTCTCATTTGAATGTCCCAAACCCACCTCCCATTGCTAACACAACCATAGTTCACAATAACCCCATCCTTTTTAATCGACAATGCTAACAACCTAGGAAATTAGTCTTCAATGGGATGTTGCATAACCAATTATCATGCCAAAACAAAATGGACTCTCCCTTCCCCACTTGTAGAATAAGGTGATTATGAAAGCACAATCCAAAGGTATCATTCGTCTGATAGTTGTTTATGACTCATTTCCAAATCCAAGAGGCAAGGGTGGATGTATTCTTGTCCATCGCAATTGATTTCCTATCTAAATTATACTTGCAACAAACCATCCGCTTCCACCAAGACTCCTTCTCACTACTAAACTTACAAACCCATTTCCCAATAGAGCCCTATTCCTCATATTTAAATCGGAGATACCCAAACCCCCAAAATCTTTCTTTTTACAAACTGTTGACCATTTCACCCAGTGGATCCGACTTTTCTGTGCCAAGCTTCCCTACAAAAAATTGGCCATTAGAGCTTCCAACTTTTTCCGGACACCCACAGGCAGTTTGAATAATGACATATAATAATTTGGTAGCAAATTCAAGACAGATTTAATTAGAACAACCCTTCTCGCAAGGGATAACGTTCCCGTTTTCCACCCAACCAGCTTTTGATAGAAATTCTTAACTATATGTTCCCATAGAGAAACCGAATTCCGCCTTGCACCCAATGGAAGCCCCATATAATCCGTCGGAAAAACTCCAAAACTACACCCTATAGAGCTTGCCCACTCTTTGACTATATGATCTTCCACATTAATGCCGTAAATCTTACTCTTTGATAGATTCAGCTACAAACATGTGCACAACTCAAAGACTACCAAAATCCTCTTGCTATTCTTTAGTTGACCTTCTGAGGCTCTACAAAAAATTATCAAATCATTTGCGAATTGCAAATGAGAAAGTGAGAAGGACCTATTGTTGCAACCGATCTGAAAGCCATCGAACAGCCCCAACTCAATTGCTTTGGAAAGCAGCAGGTTAAGAAACTCTCCCCCTAGATTGAAAAGAAGCGGAGATAAGGAACATCCTTGGCGTGATCCCCGAGATATGTTAAAGCTTTCTGTGGAAGAGCCATTCACTAGAACCGAAATGAAAGTTGAAGATAAGCACTCTAAGATCCAAGACCGCCATCTCTGTCCGAACCCCATGTACTCCATAATTTTGAGCAAGATCGTCCAATCCAAAGTATCATAGGCTCTTCTAAAATCCACTTTGAACACAAAACCTTTCCTCCCTTTCCTCCTCCAATAATCGATGCCTTCATTTGCTATAAAGGAGCAGTCACAAATCTGTCTCCCTGGAATGAATGCAAACTGTGAAGGGCCAATCAACACTTCTATGCACGTCCTTAATCTTCTTGATAATACTTTAGACAAAATCTTATACAAACTCCCTACCAAACTAATGGGCCTATACTCCTCTATACCAACCGGATTCGGCTTCTTCGGAATAAGCGTGATAAATGAGTGATTCACGCCTTTACTTAATTTCTTCCCATAATAGAACCCCTTCAAAACTTCAGAATGTCTTCTTTCAGCACCGGCCAAAATCTCTTAAAGAAGCCCATGTTCAACACATCCGGTTTCGGCGCCTTATTACTATCCGATGAGACGACTGCCTCCCAAATTTCGTTCTCCGAGAAATTGTTTTCCAAAACGGCACTTTGCTCCTCAGAAAGCCTACTAAAATTCAGATCCAAATGCTCCACCTCCAACGTTGGCTTAAAATTATAAGCTTTCTTGAAAAATTCAAGAATATTAGATTTTATCTGATTCGGATCTGAAGTCAAATTACCGTCCACTTCCAAAGTCTTTAGAGCATTAACCCTGCCTCTATTTGATGTACACTGGTGAAAATATCTTGAGATTCGATCACCATCCTGAATCCAATTCGCCCTTGACTTTTGGAACCAAATAAGTTCGTCTTTTTTATACAAAGACCGTAACTCTCTCTTATCTCTTGCAATGGCCTCCATCGAAACCAGGGAATTCCCTTGCTGTAATTCTGCTTCCCGATCAGAAATGTACTTCTCCAAATTCTCTATCAATCTCGGTATTTCAAACGGCTATTGTTTGACCAGCTTCTAATCACCTCCTTTGATTCTTATAATAAGCTTTCGATACCCCTCCTTTTCCCCTTCTTCATCTCTTTGATCTTCCCTTCTAATGTGTCTTGAAATCCCACCTCGTCCATAATATAATTAAAGAGTTTGAAAGGTTTCAGACCCCGATTAATGTTACACGTTTCCAACGCCACTGCATTATGATCCGAAAGTGATTTTGGCATTAGGACCTGTACAATGTCTAGGAACAGCAGTAAAAATTTGTCATTTACTAAAAACCGATCCAGTCTCCAAAAAGAAGGAACTTCCCTGTTGTTGCACCATGTGAAACTCCCTCCAGCCAACGGTAGGTCCACTAGTTTAGCTTGAAACACGAAATCCCTGAAGAGCCTTAAAGAGTTCACATTCTGTGTTTTCCCAATCTTCTCATCCTGCGACAAATAAGCATTGAAATCACCTCCTATACACAAGGGATAGTCCATTGTACTAACGAAGCTAAGCAGTTCCTCAAAGAAAGCCTCCTTTCCCGAATCAACTATAGGACCATACACATTTAAAAAGCAGCAGTCTTCTTTTCTTTCCTTAATTGTTCCTTTAATTGTCATGAACCTGAACGATATTTGCTGCATTTGTGGAACGAACCAATTATCGTCCCAAAAACTTTGACAATCTTTTAGCCTCTTGAAACTGGAGCTGACCAGAACATTATTAAGCTATTTTAGCCTTTTATCTTATGTTGTAATCTTAACTAGTTTTTGCCTGGTTTTATCTGGTTTTGTTGTCGCTCTGTACTGGTTTGCACATTAATAATTCCCTTTGAACCAAAGACCTGACCAGTACTAGTTCAAACTTGCTGGTTTTAATTTGTAAAGCGTTTGTTTTCAGTTTCAGGCTAAATTTCCAGTACTAACTCTCAAATAGTCAATCTTCAAATGTTATTTGTACAAGTCGTTCTGCATTCAAATATCGAATTGTCTATATAATTAAAGATTTGTGGTGTGAGATTCTCAATCTTTGTTTCTTGGGAAATGATAATGAGTTCCTACAGCATTGGTGCAGGTGATAAATATTCTCTTGAATATGGTGAGAATAGCACATTAATTAAAAAAAATCCTAAAATAGAAATTTAACTAAATTTAACTAGTATCTATAAGATCCCCATGAACCAGACCCTAGTTTCTTTCTAATAATATGACTCCTCAATCCTCATTTAAGAATCAAAATCACCATTAAAGTGTAAAGAAGGGAGTAAATTACCATAGAATAGAAGAAAATCTTTAACTATCCTTCCAACCTGGACCTTCCTAGCTGCTTTAATACATTGTCTAGCTTTTAAATGATTGGAGAATAGTATCATATAGTCTAAGAATATTAAGAATGACATAAATTCAATGTTGCACGTAAAACATTATAACATACCTGATGTACAGAAAGAGGGGGGAAATGACCAGCTGCTATTATGACTCAAACATCTAATTCTTTTTTTTTATAGGAATCGAAGGCCTCATTAAAAAACCCCTTCTTGATTGTATGAGCTTGTAGAGAAGCTCATCAATCAGCGGAAGAGGGAAAAGAGTGCCTTAAAAATTTTATTAACCATAATAAAATACAGCCAAGGGACTATATCAAAATAACCAAAAACAAAAAACTACCCAAACATGCCAAACAGCCCTGTACAATCTACAACGACCTCAACTGTGTCTGGCCTGTAACCGAATCGGCCAGAAAACCAACACAACATTCCCACCCAAATGAGAAACCTCTATTATGAAAGAATTTTTTTCATTCAATCCTTACCCAAATGATTAGACCAAGTTATGCATAAAACATGGATTGCGAAAGGGAAAAAGTCTTGTATGCCAACCAATTACAATTAATTAACATCACATTCTAAAATGAGAACATAAATAAAATAATTCTTATAAAAAATGACCTCTTGGTAAGTAATGGTACCTGAAAGATATACATGAATTTGACATGGATTGTTATGTTACCCTATATTTTCATGTATTGAACTTATAGACTGATTGATCTTAATTTTTGCAGCTTCCTGGGATTCAGGTTGATGGTGAGAGCACTGGCATGTTCGATGATGTCGGTGCTGGTGGTCGATTTGGGTCATTTGGAGGTACACGAGATCGTGGATATGGTGATATGGGTTTTGGTCGTTCTGGTCGGCAAGGGGAATATGGATTTGGCCGTTCTGGAGGTAATAGGAGTTCCGGATTTGCTCGTAGTGGTGGGTTTTCTGATGAGATGGGTGGTTATGGAGGTCGCTTTGGATCGAATAACCGGTCTGGAAACTTTGGTGGTTCTGCATTCGGTCGTCCAAGTGGATTTGGGGAATTGGGTAAATCAGATGGTTCTAGTAGCTATGGTAATTTTGGTACGAGACGTACTAGTGGATTTGGGGACTTTGGTTCAGGCAATCCAGGTGGATTTAATGACAATCGTTCTGGTGGATTTGGTGGTAATCGTTCAGTCCAAAGTGGTGGAAGCCATGGTGATTCTCGATCTAGTCGTTTTAGCAGCTTTGGGGGCTCCAATGCTGATAATGATTAGGGAACTGGAAGAACATCCTTCTAAATTCCTTTGAGGTAAGCATTATATAGAAAGCAACTTCTTATATCAATTTTGTAACAAACATTTTACCCGTGAATGGTATTTTTTTTTGGCTTGATTGACTGGTGCTACCTTATTTTCTATGCATTTGTATTACTTATCATCTTTCCCTTAGTCTTTCTGGAATTAGTTTTCTCTGTTAAAGCCTTCTAGATTGTGGTGGATTAGATTAAATGTGAATATGATCCCTAGAGGTACCTTTTTTTTCTCTTCTGTTCTATATTTCTTCTTTTATAGAAATGGAAAACTGCCACTGTATTTATGTTGAAGTTCTTATTTTCTAATATGCCGTAATAGCATACATATGTCCCCTATTTAATACTTATTAACTGCTAATAAAGTACTTTGTTGGAAGATAAAGTTTATCCAGAGATAAAGATAATAAGGACTCCTAATCTTAAAAGACTCCTAAAACAGTAGGTACTCTTAATAAAACAGTAAACATAGTTAGGGCTCTAATGCAATTAGACAACATAAATGTTTACAAAATCTGCTGCTGATAATACTGAAAAAATCTAAGTCTTTGTTTGGCTGACACTGGATTTCAAGGATACAAATGATTTTCGATGATATAAACACAACCGAAGACAAATGCCTTCTTGATTTTAGTTATTCATTTTGCTGGTATGGGAGTTGGATTGGGTTTTCCTTTGGGCTTTTGGTTTATGATTTGGTGGTGAGTAACATGTCCTCTTTTCTTTGTGAGTATGGTGTGGTCGGAGGAAGAAATGGTTGGCACTGGTGGAAGCTGGAGCTTTGGTGACAGGTCACTGAGTTGATGATGTAAAAGTAATGTGCTGTTGGGATTGGGGAAAGTGTAAGACCAGTTTTCTAAAACAGTGGCTATTTCATGTTTCTTGCTTCATAGAGGATTGACTACTAAAGGTTTTTTAGCTCCATTATTTTCTGTCAATCTTTTTTTTCTGGTGCCTTCCGAAGTCCAAACTTTGGACTATGCACCAAATGACTTTTCCAAGAGTAATTTTTCTTCAGTGGAGTGTAAGTTTTTGGATGACCTGTTTTCCCTTTAAGGTCCTATCTTCATTTTTTGCTTTATCACATTAATTTGATGACAGAAAGTGCACTTACTGCATAAACCTGATTCTTGTATCATGCTGCTAACAAGTGCTTAGTTCATCCCCTTTACCCATTTGCTAGGATGTTATTGACAGGTCGTTTGTTTTCTATGACACATTTGTTTTCATTTGCATTTTGGAATGACATGGAAGAAGGCAGCAACTCCGGTGACTGCTTCCGATGGGAAACAGATACAGAGAAGCAAGGAAATTTTTTTGGGGGGATGTGAAGAGTTTGTTGGGAAGAAAGAAAATGAGGTAGAACCCCAATCCCCTGTCAGGACTCAAGTCTCTGCTAATATTATATATACTAGTTACTCGCATGGGAATGTTTAAAGATGCTGACTATTGTTATTTAAGTTGATTATATCTGAAGGAAAAAATGTAATAAAAGATTCATTGTGGGAGAGTGGAATGATCTTCTCCGTCTTTTTACCGTTCAATTCCTATTGGTGGCCTGGAATGGAGACAAGGGGCGGTATGCATTGGCCTTGCCCACCGCACCCAAAATTTATCCTGGTCCCAGCATAAAATGCTTGGCCTCACTCTTGTTTTGCTGGTGGTTGTGCATGCCCTAATGCTTGCTTTTTTGTCTTCCCATAACCCTACCCTACTGTCCTTGTTATTTTGTTCCTTCTAACCAAACCATATCAACTTATTCGTTTCCTTATATCATATTGTGTAGGATTAGCTTTCTTTCCATCTCTAATCAGGTTACCTACACCATAATCCCGATAGACCGAGTCGGGAATCATATCTATAATGGTAGGTAGCCGCTGTTACCGAACCTATAGGCGTGTTGTTGTCTTCAGTAAATAGGTTTTTAGCTTGACTATGATTCTGTATTCTCGAAATGCCTGCTTGTAAGCGTTTGGTCATGTTCTTTAGGTATAGTTTGAGCACTTATTTTTACATTAACCCAAATAGAAAAAAACGCTTTGGATCATTTGCATGCGACTCTTGTAGCCAAATCTGGTTGTCAACGATAGATTATGGGAGCCAACATTAATGTTTTCACTATTTTAGCAAGTTTTCGGTTTCTTTTTTTGTGATTTGAAGGCCTAAAATTAAGTTGTTTGGTAAGAGGAATGATATATTATTAATTATTAGATGTGAGATTACTTATTAAATTATTTAAGATTACATTACTAGTTTATTGATTGAAAAAAAAAGCTGAGATTATTTTAGCATGTTTTATTAAATTATCTTTGTTATAATTTTTAAATATTTTGATATGTTAAAATTTATGATAATAGAAAGAAAATTTTAAAAATATTTTAAGATAATTTATCAGAAATATAAAAAAATCGAAAATTAATTTGGGCACTTCAAATTTATTTTGGTTTTTGTTTTTCTCATGATAAATTTACAAATGAATTTGATATGTTCATTTGGATTTAGATATTTTATGTTATTTTCATTTTTTTACATAATAGAAAATATTAAGGAATATGTATTTGGTTGTAAAATTAAAAAATAATTTAAGGAAAATAAAAGCAAAAATAAGTTAAAATATGAAAACATAGAAAAGATGTTTACATTATTTTCATTGAAATTATTTTGGAAATTTAAAAAAATATGATATCATGAGATCTAGAATTTTAACTTACATAGATTTAAATCCTTCTAATAATAATTTTTTTACTTAATGGTATATGATCCCTCAAAATTTTGTTAAAAAGCAATGTGATCTTTTAACTTTTTCTACACACAAGGTGGTTTTTAAATTGGTTTTTTTAATAATTTAATTTGTTGAATATCTTAATAATTGTTTATATTTTAAATTTTAAATTTAAATACTTTCTTATTTTTTTAAAAATTAAGTAAGTCTTCAAACTTTCTAAAAGAATTGATTAGGTTTCAAACTTATTCAAAAATATCAATTAAGCACATTACCATGTCATCGTCCATTATATACTATCATATCAACATCGTAAACTGTCACATCAGCATTGTAGATTATTATGTAAGCATTGTGAACTGTATGTAAGCGTTGTGATAGTCATTTTAACGCTTGATTCTGATAATCAAATGATTTTTTTCTCATATTAAAGGTCACATTTAATATAAAAAAATTAGGGACTAAACTAATTTTATTTTTCAATAATTTTAAAAAAGTGTTGCATTAGTAACTGTCGAGATATAATACATTTTGATCAGTATTGTTGTGCACACATTTTATGATGAAACAACAACTAATTAGCTATGAAATTGATGTAGCTATAATTTTCATTAAGAGTGATAATACCACTATTATTTGTCTTGTTAAGAATCTCATCCAACATTTTAAAATTAAACATATTAAAATTAGACATCATTTCATTAAAAATTGTTTTGAAAAATGCAATTCTATAATATGTAGACATTTTATGAGTATTTCAACCCAACATTTTAGTTCAACGAATAATATATTTAATATTTTAAATTAAATATTTAATTTTTCAAATGCATAGGATTAAAATGTTCATTTTAATTGTAACTTTTTTTTAACATTTCATCCTAGTACAAAGATAAATTAAATCTAACATTCTAAAAGTTAAAATCTCGTTTGAACTAATTAAATTTCCAAAAAGAAGGTGAAAGCTACATTTATGTTAATTTGTTATAATTTATCACACTTATTTTCTTGTGTTTTTTTAAAATAAATAGCATATTCATCAACAGGTTGATTCAAGTGGTAACTAATTTGATAATATTATTTAAGTAGGTCTTAAGTTTAAGTCATTGTGTATGTAAAAAATCCTCATTAGGAGACTCATCCACTAAAACCAGGTGTGCGACACGGGTCAGTCTGAATTAGTTAGGGCTGAAACGGGAGGACAATTAAAAAATAATATATTTAGGGATTAGTATGTGTTGTGTAGGGTCGAGCCTACTTGAAACAAATATATTAATAAAAATATTAATTTTATTCGATAAAAACATAGATTTAATTAAAAAATAATATATAGATGATTGTTATTACAATTATCCTTAAATATATAAGATACAATTGTATTATTTTTGGGGTCGGGTTATATATTTTCACCTTAAACCCTAATTCAGCTCGACATAAACATGTCCTCTAAAACATTTGATCCGACTCGACTCGAACCCAATTATTTTTAAAAATTCGACTCAATAGAATTGAATCGGGTCGAAACTTGTAAGATTCAAGTCTCGTGTCTAGTCATAAGTTTATTGTTTAAATTAAGGGTAAAGTATATTAATGGTCACTGAACTTTTCTAAAGCTTTCATTTAGGTCTCCCAACTTTTAAAACTTGAAATACAGTCCTCCAACATTTAGTCTGTTTGCAATATGATCCCTGACCGTTACACTATCGTTAGTACGTTTGCAATATGGTCACTGAACTTTTCAGGTGCTTGTATTTAAGTCCTTCAACTTTTAAAACTTACAACACAGCCTTAATTTTATTCCAAACCCCAAATTCCTTTTCGATCTCAAATTTCCTTTTTTTCTTCTATATTCTCATTTCTAGCGTAACTTTTTAGCCGGGGATGCATGGGGAATTCTAATCTAACTTTGAATTATGTGGAGGTGTTGACTTGAATAAGGTTCCATTGAGAGAAGACCCGACCAAGACACTATCGGGACCATCAACGATTCAAGGTGTAATGATAGATACAAGTCATCTCAAGTGAAACATAGATGATGGATGAAATGCTTGTGAGAAAAAATGGGGTTAGAAATGCAGAGTTGACAAATACTACTAAGATAAACTAAGTATCATTGTTGAAAGTCACCCACAAAGCTGGAATTATTTTGTATAAATGACATATGATAATTTATTCGTTTAATCCTTATGGTTAAAGATTTTCCAACAGATGATCAAATATAATGAAATCCCAAACAGCTCATTCACCTTTCAATCTCTTTCGCTCGCATGCACTCTCGTTTGGTTTTTGTTCTTTAATTTTCCGCCATGTAAAATTGTAAACCCATGCAGTGCTCTGTCTTTCAACTTTTTATTTACAAAGAAAAAATGGAGGAAGAATTGCTGGAACGCAACACCGATTGCGTTTATTTCTTAGCATCTCCCCTCACTTGCAAGAATGTATTTATTTTCTCTTTTGGGATATCCGGAAGTAAGCTTTTCCTCTATCGCATTTTCCCATTTTCAGCTCGCATTGTGTGTTTTTTTGTTGAATTTTTTATGTTTCTGGAATTGCATGTTAATGATCTGGATATTCAGTGTTAGTTTTGAACCAAACCATCTAATTTTATTTCCTTCTTCTTAATCAAAACTTTTAGTACTCCTTATGAAAGATATTCAGTTCATCAAAATAGAAGTGAAAGAATGTCCTAGGCTAAATTTTTTTGATCTTCTTGTTTGGTTTTTTCTTTAAATCATGGAATTGATTATGAGTATCGACATAGTGAAATCGCCAGACTCAATCTGAGAGACTGCTAGTACTAGTTTACTGGGAATTGTATTGATTCAACTGTGGTTTTCGGCGTCATGTAAGCTCGTATTCTTTTTAATAAGTTCATGTTGATTATGTGACTGAACGAATTGGATTTTTTTACATGTTTTGGAAATTTTACAGTTTAATCTGTATTGAATTATAACTTTAGAAGATAATTCTGCATGCACGTAACTCGAAAGGCATCATGAGAGGGTAGTATATTTACAACAGCTACTTGATATGTTGCCCAGTCATTGCACATTTGCTCCTTCACTTCTGGCATATATATGTTTGTGGCAGTGTCCTCTATGTTTTACAATATCTTTTAATGCTGACATGCCATGAATTTACAAGAATTATGAGGTCCTATGATTTTAGTTTCTCTATATGCTTTAGATTCTCGTCATGTTTGGCTATTGAGGAACATTAAACATGGAGCATTAGAAGCAATTATATGTTAAAAGGGTAAGCCATTAATGTATTTACAACTGGTAATGTTGTATTTGGCATCTAATGTCTATCTTAAACAACCCATTTGACGCCTTATCTTTGGAGTGACTATGACTGAATCTCTTTCCCTTTATTTATTAAGTCCTTCTTTTGAATGAGTTATTAATTAATATTTGTAACATCCTCAATACCGAGTTAGTGACTAAATTGTAAAACTTTAGAATTTGGTGACTAAAGTAGATAATTTGAAAAGTTTAGGGACTTATATAGAAATTTTGTGTAGGATTGAATTTCAAAGAATGATGAATATAAGGAAAAAATTGTCAATTGATAAATAAATAATTAAATTGGGAGTGGTTATATTAAAACCACGTGGAAGTAAAAGGAGGCAAATTAAAAGTTTCTAGAGTTCTATTCTTCTTCTTCCTTCTTCATACGTAAAAGTCAAAGCAAAGGTGAGTTTTCTTGTTAGTTGATTTTTAGTTGAAAATTAAGTTTGGTTTTGATCATTAGGTGATACTTAAGC